CAACAGCACCAGTTTGGAATGGCTACATAAGGCCTTGGCATGCACCCAGTTTACACCATTTTGCGTATTTATTGGCCTTCCCTCATGCTGCCAGTCTTCATGCTACTTACCAGGAAAGAACAAACCCATTAAGTGTCCACTATGGTGACAATGTATCCTACCTAACAAAGAACAGTCCTCTGTTTGAAGGCACCCCCTCTTTAAAGAAGAAAGAGCAAAGACTTTGAAGGAAAGCAACAGCTAATACTAGGGTTGGTGGGTATCATGGTGCCAGCAGAAGTCCCAGGAATCTCTATGCCTCTCTGGTTCTCCATGGTAAGAAATGGCACACTGCTCAGGGCAGGTGGTACTTGTGAAGAAGCTGCCTTGACTTTCATATATCAGGTGGTTTGAAAGCAGGGATAGGCAACCTCCATAGTCTTGGGGGTGTAGCCACACCTGCCGAGCTACACCTGGTCCTTGGTGGGCCACACCTGCATCCCTCTCAGACCCCTGATACTTTACTCTTTAAAAGTCCTCTATATTGCCCTCTCTCACTGAAAAGGCCTTCTCACAGTCTCTAGTGACCAATATTGTCAATATATATATATTTGCAGGACAAGGATATCCGATGTCTCCAAAACATGGCAGAATGGTCTCCTGTGCCCCTAGAGGGCACAGTGGGCTTTTTCAATTACAGTGCCTCAAATATAAAAAGGGGTATGTGGAGGGAGCCAAATTTGGGTCTTTGGGGGACACATAACCCACAGGTTGCACTTTGCCCACCCCTGCTTTAAAGCCTGGACCCTCAATCTCTCTCTCCGATCCCAGCTAGCCACCCTATTCTTGCCTTTGACTGGCCTTGAATCAAACAGATCTCTGAATAAATACGTGTGGGAGTTGGCTGCTAAACCCACAACTGGAGCTGCGTATTCATTTCATTGCAAATTGCCATTCATGAGCCGGGGTCCTTAGTTCCATTTGGACTGGGAATTCCCACATTCCTTTGGTGCTGTGCAATATATCTTGCTCTTTGGGATGACCAATGGTGAGAAAGATTTGTTTTCTTAACACCAAAACAAGTGCTGTGAATTATGAATAATAAATGACTCATTTTTAAAATCAGTTCTTTTTAAAGGGCAGGAAGTCTGGAATGCTCACTGTCATCTTTTCTTTAATTATAATTAATTATTCTGAAATGTAGTTTGACTCTGAAGAATGCCTGTTATTAAAACAAGGCTTCTCAATGGCTCTTTTCTCCTCAGCCTGCTTTTGTACTGCTCTTCTAAACTAATTAAAGAACAATATTCAAATCATGTCTCTTTCTTTCTTCTTATCCTCTTGTCTCCCAAATAACAATCCCTCAGAAGCAGATTATGCCCTTGTAGTTTAAATACTGCACTAATTAATTGTCCTAGAAGGCATCAAAAAGAAGAATAGAATAATCTGCATTTACTTGAAGATGTGAGGGCATTCTTCTTCAAAAGTGAATGCTTTAGCTGAAATGGATGTCTGCAGGTCTCACTGAGATATCCATGTCCATTGATGGTATGCAAATCCTACTCTGAGAGTACAAAATGGAACCATGATCTTAGGAGCAACCAGGCAGAAAACGAAATGTCACTCAAGAAAACCCATTTATACGGCTCGTTCAGATGGGCATTGCAAGGGTGGATGGGTTTGCTCTTTTTTCTGACAGTCACATGACAAGTGGATCAATTTTCCCCAGCTTGCCCTCAGGGTACCCCAACATACACCTTTCTGTGCCCCAGTCAAGTACTTCTACTTCTTTGCTGTAGACTGATGTGCTCTAGATTAGACCATTCGCAGCACATGCAATTGTGGGAATGAACTAAAATTGAGCCTTGCAGCTTTGCCCTCAGGGTACCCCAACATACACCAACATATTGGCAAATTGAAAACTTCCCCTGCTCCTTTGGGGAGGGGCAAGGGAAATGAAATTATTAATTGGTGTGGCGCTAGACCATTGCTGTTGTCATCAAGGCTCCTTCTGGTTTGAATTGTCTGTATCATGAAATGGCTTAATAAATGAGACACTTCAGGATACTGGCAAATTGAAAATTTCCCCTGCTCCTTTGGGGAGGGGCAAGGGAAATGAAATTATTAATTGGTGTGGCGCTAGACCATTGCTGTTGTGCTGAATCACTTAATTTTTTTTTCTTTGCCCTTGTGTGAAGTACCAATTGAAACTGCAGCTACAGGCAGTTTCTCAATTGGCACTACACAGAATGCAAAGAAAAATAAATAAATTTTATCTAAGTGATTCAGCACATCAGTGATGCTTTAGCATAGGTGAAAATAATAATTTCACTTCCCCTGCTCCTCCACAGAGGAGCAGGGGAAGTTTTCAATTGACAGAAGAAACCACAGGGTCACTTGAGGTTAATATGCCATTTGGACACAAGAAATGTACCAACTGGAATATTGCTCCTCACCTCAACCTCAAGCAACCCTATTTAGAGTGCACCAGCCTGCACCCAAAGGGCCAGTATAGATGTGCTCAGAGATAACCTAATAATTCCTATACTTTCTCTTATTTTACTTTCTTTGAGTGATTTTTTTCTCTCTTCTCTGTAGAGAAGAGGCTGCATATCCTGACTGGCATCAGATAGTATTCTGTTTACACATATCCTCTATTTGAAGAAACAAAGAGAACAAAGGTCTTGAAGCAATTCATGAGTACAGGCTTAAATGCTGGAGTAAGAGCTTTCCCATTGTGGTATTCAATATCCAGAACTCCATGCTATATAAGGTCCAAACTGAGCTTTAAAAGCTATGTTGCTTCTCTTCAAGAAATCACTGAAATCCTTGTTTAAAAAAATTCCCTAGAATTGAATGGTAATTGAAAGCATCTGTCTGCCAGGAGCATGACTGGTTCCCTATCCTCTGAACAGCCTGTGTCTCAATTTGGAAATAACAGCTCATGGTCCCTTGGCCTCACTGGCCCAGTGTCCAGGGTTGAGTTGACTGCAGAAATTAAATGGAAAGCATTGTGTCCCTAGGAAAAGCTAAAGCAAAATATACAACTCTTGGCAAGGGGGACAAAAAAGCAAAACAAAACCAGAAGTCGCAGAAAATAGGGGAATATTGCCTTGTTAACTGGACCAGGAACAATGGCATATGGAGAATGTGGGCTCGAGAGGCTGATTACAACAGCACAAAATCGTGTCCTGACGTAAGAACAAATGTCCTGTTTGTACAGCCCTTTGTTGTTTTCCATGGACAACATCATAAATAAAGCGTAGGTGGGGAAATGCAGTGAAATGCAATGTACTATATTGCATTTTCAAATGGGGGAGGTACCTCATGTGAGTGGCATGGCAAGAACATGAAAAACCAACAATGCACTGTTGTGTTAATCTAATGCATTTTTTCACAGTCATGTTATAAAGGAATATGGAAAACGTGTATGACACTTAACATACAGCTGAAAATCTTTTCCAGTATTGAGGTAATACCCAATCTTGTTGAAAGCAGTTTTCTATAGAAATAATGCTAAACACTTTTCTCATACAGGGAAATGCAATTTGCTAATCATTAAATAGAAACACTAGTCTTATTGCAGGTTCATACAAAGTACTCTTGAGTAATCCTTTCATCCAATATTATTTTGCCTACTGAGTTGCACACTGTATAGCTGGAATGAGAGGATCACTCCAAGATGTTGTTGATCTAAATGATCTCTCGAACGCTGAGTATGCTGTTTAAGGTTCATGGGAGTTGTAGTCCAAGAAGAATTGGGAAGACTGCACTTTGCCAAGTGCTGCTATATGACAGACAAAAATGTGGCTAGTGTGGTTATGTGCCATCGAGTCCCTTCCAGCTTATGCCAATGTTATGAATTAGGGACCTCCAAAAGTTTCTGTCATTAACAAAATGACAGCTCAGATCTTGCAAACGTACAGCCATGGCTTCCTTTATTGAGTGAATCTATCTCACATTCAGTCTTCCACCTTTCCTGTGGCCTTCAATATTTCCCGGCATTATTGTCTTTTCCAATTGTCTGTGTGGTTAGCCAGATCTGAAAGAAATGTGAAAGAGACCATTTTAGGAGATCTAGCTTGTCATGCAAGCTAAGTAATTGTGTGCAGACAAGTTAATTACAACCTAGGATGATCCTTCCAGGATTTTCTAGGTCTACAGTACTCATAGGTGGTTTAAGGCACTGGTTCTTAACCTTGGGTTACTCAGGAGTTTTGGACTGCAACTCCCGGAAGCCTTCACCACCAGCTGTGCTGACTGAGGTTTCTGGGAGTTCCAGTTCAAAAGCATCTGAGTAACAAAGGTTAAGAGCCACTGGTTTAAGGTAAAGGTAAAGGTTCCCCTTGACAATTTTTGTCCAGTCGTGTTCGACTCTAGGGGGCGGTGCTCATCCCCATTTCCAAACCATAGAGCCAGCGTTTTGTCCGAAGACTATCTTCCATGGTCACATGGCCAGTGCGACTTAGACACAGAACGCTGTTACCTTCCCACCGAGGTGGTCCCTATTAATCTACTCGCATTTGCATGCTTTCGAACCGCTAGGTTGGCGGTAGCTGAGACAAGCGACGGGCGCTCACTCCGTCGCGTGGATTCGATCTTACGACTGCTGGTCTTCTGACCCTGCAGCACAGGCTTCTGCAGTTTAGCCCACAGCGCCACCATGTCCCTCACAGGTGGTTTACTACTCCCTTTTTCTGAGAGTGCCCTAAGACTGTATAGCTTTCCCAAGACTATACTGGCTGATTCTTCTCAGGAGAGGCACAGTGAAATGTCCAAATCGTGGCTCTGCACCTGGTGCTCCTACTCACAGAGCTATCTAGCCAGCTCTCCTGTAAGTTACACCTGATGAACTTCACCTTCTGCACAACCTGACTACAGGTGAAGCTTCGCTCTCTGATAACAAATAGCTTGAAGACTGGTAAGACAAAGAAGTTTACTTAGGAGTAATGATGGCTTGAAATCAGATGATTACTTTAAGGCAAGAGGCAACATTCTCCACTAAAGGACCAGTGTTTCTATTTAACAATCAACTTTAATTGGTGGTTACCAGGATAAAAAAAGGGGAGGGAGACAAGTTGAAACTGATTTCTCCCAGAAGTATTTTTTCTCCACTCATGAGGTTAGTATTTTTCTAAAAAGGGCTTAGTTTGACTATTTTAAATTACTTTGGCATATGTACTGTTAGGTTTTCTTATCTGAATATTGAAGGTAGTGGTTTTAGGCTCCTTTTATAGTTTAGACTGTATCCCTATGCTTGGTACTTTTGTGTATGTAGGTGTTTGGTAAGTAGCAGTATTTCATCTGCTATGGCAAAATTATATCTCAGTCTAATGCTACCTGCCTCTTCCTCTATTGTGTTAATGCTTGCTTGTGTATGTGTGTGAAAGAGAGAAAAAATTGTGCCTAGTTTGCATTATCAATACTTTTTGCTTCTGACGCCCCTTGTTATCCTGGTTCTGCTTACTTTGTTTTCCCCTACTCACCACAATGGGTACTGACTACTACTGTTTGAAACAGTATTAAGTTGTACTAGAGCAGGCACATTGAATCAGTGAAGATTTAATAAATCAATTTATCCATAAGTTCCATTGATTCAAATAGGCTTATTTTAGTTTAGACATATTAGTCTAAAGTAAGTTGCAATACACGGTATGTATTCTCCCTAAAATAACAGTCTCTGGACAATTTTACTCTATTGTGATTTTTGACAAAAGGAGAATTATACTGAAATGAATCTAAAACAGACAAAACAAGAATGTTACACTTTAAAGCAAATGAATTTAACTAATAAGAAGGTTAAAAGGTAAAATGACCACCCAGGGAATGAAATTTCAGCACTTTGAATAGACTTTAGCATTGTTTTTTCATATAAACATCTCAATACTTCTGGCTTGAATCTGAAATCAAAACATAAAATCACAATTGTAATTTGGAGATAATTATTGTGGTGAGTCTTGCAATTTCTCATTAAGAACTAATATGTGAAATAATGATAATTTAGATTTAAATGTCCTCTTAGACATCTAATCTGTTCTATACCACAAACTTGCCAAAACTATTTGTTTTCTTTCTATCTTTCCTAAGATGTAAAGTATCATTCCATAAAAGCTTTCTAGTGGTTAGAGAAATAATCTCTCATTAAGAAACCAATGATTTAATTCTGTGCCTATTTAAATAGGACTTAATGTACAACTGGTCCTATTTAGAAAGGATCTATTGAAATCAGTGGGAGTTGTATTATTTAAGACAAGTCTCATTTCTGTTAATTGGATTTTAATAGCTTTTAGTACTGTAACCTATTCTAGTTAAAAGTAACATTAACCCTAAGCCCTACCAAGGGCTTCATGGATCGAGTCTTTTTACCTTGAGATACTTTTATCCACCACCCTCTCAACTACCTTGCTAAGGAACGAAACATTGGTGACAGCCTATAATTACCAATATCACTTGGTTTCTTCCTAATGGGCCTAATGAGTGTTTCCTTGAGGGCAAGGGCAATTGGAATGTTCTTCCAATTGTAGATTGTCTATACATGTAACAAAAGAAAGGGAAAGTTTCTGGTCTCTCTTATATGATCAGATTTATTGCTGTTTGAGCTCCTATGGATTAAAAAACACTTCTTCAGATGCATGGGGTCCAACAATGAAGCCAAACTTTCATATACATAGCTCTTCACTCTCACAACCATGTAGACTAAGAGAAATGGGATACAGAAGAGGAGACTTGCATTGCTTTACTTTTACTTTTTTATTTTTACATTTATTGGGCGTCATTACATACATAAAAACATAGCAAACAGCATCCTAAATCCATCAACTTTTTAACAATTATATAAATCCTTACCAAGATGGAGTGATTAAAAGATAAAGTAAAAGAAAAAGTAAAGGTCAATTTAATCAGCATTGCTAATACTGGTAACTGATTTTGAAAGGTTTGCAGATTTGCAGATCTGAGCAATAGAAAAATTACGGGATGTAACATAAAATGTTACACAATGTAATCCACAATGGTTAGATTTTACTTTCTGAAGAACTGGTTGTAGTGAGGCCAGAGTAATGCAAAAAAGTAACTTTTTTGGCTATTCATAAGACTGTTGTTGTCATCTTGCATATGGAAATTGTGTTATGTGTAAGAGGAAACCACAATAGGTAGATTTATGATTTAATGTTCGGCTGATACCATGTGGAAATGAACTGTGTTCCCTTCTGTACTTCTAGGATGGCATGCAGAGTTTATATTGTTGGTGTCTTTCTTCTGTTCGGACTTTTGCTTCTCATCACTGAGGGTAAGAGGAACTATGGATTAATATTCACTGCCCGTCCCCCTCGCAACAATTCAGAACGGACACAGCATTCATTGCCACAGAGGGGCTCAATAATTCATAAGAACAGAACTGAAACTCCATCTGTTAAAAGGATGTTAGGTCTGGACTCTGGGGCCGTGTATGTCACTGATCGGAGCTCCTTGAAAAAGGACTGGTGTAACGCAGAGCTGCTGGAGCAAACCATCCATGAGAAAGGCTGCAAAAGTCGTGTTATTTTGAACAGATTTTGTTACGGCCAATGCAACTCCTTTTATATCCCAGGGTACACGCGCAAAGGAGAGAGCTTCTTCAAATCCTGTTCCTTCTGCAAACCTGATAAATTCAACACTAAGCTAATTGTATTGCGTTGCCCAGATCTTCGTCCTCCATGGAAAGAAATGATGATCACACGAGTTAAGAGTTGCCGCTGCACAGCCATAAATGTGGATTAGGAGGTGACTCTTGGGTACCTGCTGTCGTTGTCTCTTTGGGTAAGGGCACCTCAACCTATCTGGGTGTGTCTGAGCAGGACACAATTCAAATATAGTCACTACAGCAGAATGTATGGAAGTGTGAACTTCAGCTACAAAAGCAGGTGTATGGAGTAGCACTACCACATGGAGAGCAAGTCATCACTTTTTTACACGTAGTCCTATTCCCGGGTTTGGTATCTCACTAATTTATTTGTGTGCTGGGCTTCCTACATGGTGATGTCCACATGTTTCTAGAATGTATGCCATCAACTCTCTTGATTATTAATAACTGTTGTCTGTGGGGACATTCATGGGTTTTAAATGGAGCTGCTTCCTGAAGGTCATGTCAAAATGGAGGCAGCTGGAGGTCTTACATAAACATGCTTTGTAAATAGTATTTATTTATAATAATCCTAATAAAGGAGGCAATTGTGATTTTAAGACCTCTTGGAATGATTTATTATTTGCAGAGGAAATCATAACTAGAGCAGAGATGTAAAAGAAGAGGGTTTTTAAGAACGAGATAAAGGGCCAAGAGGGTGGTTAGCTTGGTGGGGACAAAAATAAGTAAAAGAAAAGAACAAAGATAAAAGGAAGGCAACCTCCCCATTGCACTTCAAATGCATGTTCAAAGGGCATTTTTCAAGCTCTAACATCTGCCTTAGGATGCTGTACTTTTGGAACTAACTTTAAAATGATGTGTGTTTTTTTACAAAAAAATGGCGAAGTCCTAGCACTGTAATACTCATTTACATTTGTGAATGTATGTGTATTTATGCCAAAGCTTAGAGAAGTTACTTTTCTTGAACTATAATGAATAGCCATACAGTATGGGGAATTTATTAATTCTTGTTTTAAAAGTAACAGCTGGCTATGAGTTTGGAATCTGGCTGCAGAGATAGAGGTTGGGAGTTCAGTTCTCCACTATACCTGCGAGGAAAACAGTCAGGCTGAGAAAGTCACTCCTTAAGTAACTCGGTTACTTTGAAAGCCCTATTAGGGTTGCTGTAAATTGGTTCTGATTTGATGGCACGTAACAACATCAAGTGTAAAATGTAACTATTAAAAGCTCTGGGAGGTGGGGTTTGGCTGCAGATGTAATGATGACAACTCTGCACTAGCATTATGGCTACCAAACCCAGGAGCCCTGAAATGCTACAATCACCAAGAAGGCAGCTGGCATGCTAGGATACTGCAGTGGACACAATAAATCTCCAGTTTGCTTCCCCATTGCCTTGCCGCACTGGCAATGACTGTTATTTACATAAACTATGAAAATAGAATAGCTAATTGACTTATTTGTTTATTAACCTTGCTCATGGGCCATGTAGAGGGGAAACTTCATTCCAAAGAGTTGTATCCTATTGAGATTGCACTAAGCGAAAAGGGCTGTCTGCAAGCATTGCCATTCATCATAGGCATCCTTCAGTCTCGAGAGACTATGGTAACATGCTCTAAATCGAGGAGTGTCCACTCCAGAGCATGAGGCCCGGGTAAGGTAATATGGAGGATAGGCTGTTACCCAAGCAGCAGATCCCCCCCCGTCTCCCCGTTGCTGAAATGGTCCAATGGAAAGGCAAGAGCCAATACAACTGGTTCCAGCAACATCGCAGGAGTTGGCAGAACGACACGAACTGCCTTCGGGACTCCAGCTCCAGATTTTGCCTCTAGGTTAACTCCTGAAGCCTTTTCCATGAGTGAATATAGCCACAAGGCAGTGGCGGTTTGAAATTGGAGTTTTCCTTCTCCTAGATGGGCTGCCTTCCATGGCTAACGAGCCCCACCTACCCGGCATTAGACAAGAAATCATCTCTGGGGTGCAGGGGGCAGAGGAGACTCTGTGCGTGATGTGAGCACTTACACAAGGGGCAGGATCCTGCTTTTTCACCCTGGTAAAATGTGCACTAAGCTGCTAGGCAGAATTGAAAGAGAGGGCTCTCCTTTCAATTACAACTTGCCTTCCTGTCTGGTCACAGGCCATCTACATTATTAATTTATGCAAGTAATATGGAAAATACTTGAAAAATTGCCAAATGAGAAAGATTTCAAGTATTGCCAAGCCAAGGTTTCTCAGCTTCCCATGGAAAAAGAAGCTCCAGAGTTGTTTTCTCCCATTTTGGGGCTCTGTACTATTGTGCAAGAAACTGTGAAATCCATCACAGCTCAATGCCCTTTCTAGTGATTCTTGTGGCAGGAAATAGATTGTTTTGACAGGAATTGAAATAATTCTGTGCAGTTTGGTATTTTTTTTCAGAGATTGCTGGTGGGGGTGGCGGCATGATAAAACATCTGAGAAATCCTGTGAGCTTTCTCTTGGAAGGAAAAAGCTCCCACAGAGAGATCTCACTGGGCAGAAAAGAAAGAGTGGTTTTCTTTTCCAATTTCAACATGAGAGTCTGTGAGATTTATGTCCGTATATAATAATATATATTTCTTTCAGTTACATACTCTGCCCTTTGATGAGTTCCCACAAAGCTGTTTACAAAGCATAATAAATCACAAGAAATTTTACAGCAAGATTAAGTGATATCTTTATTCAATTACTAAAAATTTACAAATAGAAGCAAGGTTTCAACCTGTATCATCCCAAACTCATCCCAAACCTGATGAAGGCCTAAAACACTGAAAGCTAGCTTCTGTTTGCAATTTTAGTGGTTTAATAGAAATGTCACCTAACCATGCCTTCAATATGTGTACGAGAACCATGTGACTTTCCCTTTTTTTAAAAAAAAATTAATATAAGTAAAAATACAAGTGATAAAACACAAGAACAGCAGTTGTCACCAATGAGAAGATAAACTGTAAAATCTTTGTTCCTTAAAAGATGGCAGTGAAGGAAGCTAATTCAAATTGCTATCAAGTCCTATCAGTTCAGTGCTGTTTCACTTGCTAAACATAAAAAAACCCCAAGGAATTTGACACTGGCAGAGGGGGTAGGTAGGTAAGAGGGGTGATAATGGTAGAAAAGGGTAAGGAGGAGTATATGATGTGTGGACACCCGAAATGCAATTAACATTTAATTGTAAACTGTGCTATTGATTTAAATGCCAGGATGTAATTTAGAGAAGTTTCCATAAATCCTGGAAAATCTTCTCTATAATTGCTCCCTAATTTTGATTTTCTTCCCTTCCTCCAATGGTAGCGCAGTACAACTCCTTAACATTTAAAATAAGTGTGGATGACAAGTGCCCTTGGTACCCACACATTTTTGACTCAGGAGTGCCATTGTCTACTCTAGGGAGTGTGTTTGGAGGAAACTGGCATGATTTTAAGGGCCACCCGCATTTCTGGAGCCCCATGCCCCACCCCAAATTAATTTTTTAAAAATTATCTACTAGAACAGTGGTTCCCAACCTTGGGTAATCTATGTGTTGCAGTTCCAAGTATTCATCATCAGAACTTCCCACAAAACCCTGGCCAGCACAGCTGGTGGGGAAGGATTGTAGCCCAAGAAAGGTAAAAATAAAAACCAGTTTCGTATGAAAAAATAATAATGGAGAAAGTGGGTCCTGATGTGATGGTGTGTGGTCCTCTTTAAAGTATAACTGAATTGAAGATTAACATATGTGGTCTATATTACCCTATCTGGGCCTGAGGCATGGAGGGCAATGCCACGCCTGAATGGAGCAACCACCACTGCTCATAAGTAGGTCTTTTCAATTTTTTGTCCTCTTCTTTTGAAAGAATTGTTGTTCTCTCCCTGCTTCTGCACAACGCGTTATATCTCCTGAGTAACAAGTGGCCTGAAATGACATGCCACTGCTAGCTGCCTTTTGTACTTCCTAACTGGAAAATGTGAGAAGGAAAGGAAAAGAGGAAAATATTATTATTTGCCCCAATATGCTGCTGACAGTATGAAAACATTTGCTTAACAGGTAGAAGAAAAAACATTTCTACTCTAGTCCTGCTAGGTCTTTCATCATCAGCACCAATCCCCACATAACTCTGGCCATGAAGAACAATGAATGAAATCAATATCATAATTCATTTAAGCTGATCAAGTTCAGTATGGACTTCATTTCTGGCACCCTGTAATTTGCATCACAGCATCATTCCATACACAAGGAATAATGGAAGAAATGATTAGCTAATATTAAACAGTGGATGATTCAGGGACTTCAAATACATCGTTGTCTCCCGTTGCAATTCAGATTTGGATAAGTACTTGGTTTTATTAAAGTACACTGACTTTCCCTAAATGGGAAGGGAGGGTACAAAGATGATAATAATAAAGCACATGATGCTTCTCTGTGTTTTTAATTACACTGTGTTGGTTCCAATATAGGCAATATAGGCTTTCTACTGGTCCTTTGTGACAGATAATGTGGAGTTAATAAAACATAATGCCGATGTCATAACAAACATGTACCATTTTTGTTGCTGATGGTGGTGATACCTCTGTGATTAGCTGTATAAGAAAAAGTTAATCTCGGTCTTTTAATCCCCCACTGGTAAATGTCAATGTGCACATTTTAAGTTGTCTTCAAGGTTCCCATGTCCTTAATGATGTCAGATCTTACAAAGGTGCAAAGCAGACCTGAATATAGCTTCCCTTTTTAAAATGTCAACTAGTAGAAGCAGGAAGCATGAGTCACACATCTTGAAGCTATCTGGGGATTTAAATAGCCAGTGTATGGTAATACAGAATATTCTTTGAATATGTAATTTGGCTCCATAGCATTTCAGCTTTCGTTTCCTCATGAAGTGTTGTGGTTTTGCATAAACAAAAACATACTTCCCCCAACTATTAGTACTATAAAACAGCAGAGGAGTTGATCTGAGAAAAACGATCTGAAACGATCAATTTGAAAGAAGTAAGATACAGAGAAATGTATGTTCCAGTTGCTGGTTTCCATAAATAAAGAATGGGTTGGAGATATTTCAGGCTATCAGTAGTATACACAAACAAAGGAGCAGAGAAGGACATGTAATTTGCTGCTTGCGAATCAAAAATTCCCTTTTTCCATAAACCAAAGATGGGATTTATCATATCACCAGCCTAGACAGGTTTGCATGTGTTTCAGTATGCTGGAAATGGCGCGCGCGCGCGCGCACACACACACACACACACACATCTTGTTCAGTGTATGCGGGCAAGTGGAGAGGCTGCTGACGACACTATAGGAGGTGTGCACGGTCGTCTCATAACCCTAATGACTGATGCACTGTGATGGATGGGTGCCCTTAAGCAACACTTGTTGATGCCAAGGAAGGCAGGGAGAAGCAGAATGGTTTCCTATAGACAAAACTGCAAGATAAAGGTATTTGTCTCCCTGTCCATTCAATCTATACTCAGAACATATCATATGGAAGGCTGGATTAGATTCAGACAGAATAGGAGTGACGATCGTTGGATGAAACATTAGTAATGTAAGATACGTAGATAACACCATATTACTGGCAGAAAGCAATTGTTGGAAGAAACATCAGTAATGTAAGAT